CGCCGCTGGGCTGCGGAAGTGCAAGCGAAAGGACTTGGGCCCCGTCGTGAGGCCGCTGCGGCCAGAGCAGACCAGCAGCTCGTGAGGGCCCGGGAGCCCCGGGAGCTGCCGTCTGGAGAGACCAGGGGACCACGGGCCTTCGCCCTGGGCTTGAGCAAAAGCCGCCTTGCACTGGCCCCTAGATAGTCGGTGTTTCCACTGGGAACGTTCAGAGAATCACGAGGACCCAGTATTTCCCTCCAGCCTGCCCAGTCACCTTCAGAGGAAGCCCAGGCGCAGCACTTGGAGTGTACCTGTCCAGGTTGCTGTGCCAGATAAGGGGTCACGGTGTTGGAGAGCTACCTCTGAGGAATTAGGACCTGGCTCTCTGCAGCCAGCTGTGTTGACTTCCAAACCTCACTCCTCTCATCTGTAAAATGGGGGTAACAGTATCTCCTTGAGAGTTCTGAGGATCAAGGAGGAAGTACCTGGACAGGGCCTACGCAGCTCCCGAGTCCAGTCCTTATCTACTACCACACCCTAAACTCTTTGAGGGCAGCACTCAGATCTGCTGTGTCCCCTGGTTCCTGGTTATTGACACAATGTAGATTGGAAATAACTGTTGAATCAGTGAATCCTTGGTTGTTGTGTAGCAAGGCCCGCGCTAGGTACTGTCTTGGATACAGAGAATTCTGAGACCAGGAACCTCTATTAGGGTAGGCAAGACTTTATATATATTTAAAAATCATGTATATACAGAGCAATCAAAGTGATGCCAGCCAAGTAATGGAGGCAGTAAGGACTTCAAAGCTGGAGTGATTATAAAGATCTGCATGGAGAAAAATGAAACATTTGATGAAGGAGTACCTTTCTAAGAGAGCATAGCTTCAGTTCATCCATTCACACCACCTCATCTCTATCCTAGTGTTCCTGATCTTGTTTCTGTAAATGGTTCTATTTTTTCATAATGAAAAAGGGCCATTCTGTAATTGTTCATAACTATAAGTTAGTTTTTTTTCCTATTTTAAAAAATTTATGTGTGTCTTTGCTACTGTAAAAAGATCTGGAGAATATTGAGTGGATTTAAGCAGATACATGCTTTTAAAACAAGTAAAAAATAATTAGAGCCAGGCTCAGTGGCACACACCTGTAATTCCAGCAGCTCCAGAGGCTGAGGCAGGAGGATCCAGAGTCCAAAGCCAGCAAAAGCGAGATGCTAAGCATCTCAGTGAGACCCTGTCTCTAAATAAAATACAAAATCGGGCTGGAAATGTGGCTCAGTGGTTGAGTGCCCCTAAGTTCAATCCCCAGTACCAAAATAAGTAAATAAAACAATTAGAAAAAAAAGTGTACCTATCTTGGGATCAGGCACTTCAATGACACAAAGAAGAAACTATTAAACCTTCATTTTCGACCCTGATCACTTTATAATGTGGGACAATCTTGGGAATTAAGAAGGATATTAAGAATCCTTGTTCATTATTGCAGTACAAGTTTATTTTTGTTTTTGTTTCTTATTTTGCTTTAGTTCTGAATCTGGCCTGGAGTCTGTGTTTACAGAAATGTCTGTGGAATCATAATGTGTATGTGCTTGTTTCTTTGTATATTTCAGGTCTGCAGGTGCGCCTGCAGGTTCCAGTGCTGCCACTGGCAGTAATCGGAGAATTCAACAGACACAAAATCAAGTAGATGAGGTATTGCTCTAAAGTTCTAAAACATGAATCTTAGACAGATTTTTAGACAAATTTGGAAATACTCTGGAAATAATTCTGCTTAGGAAAAAAAATCAAAAGTGTGAATATAGCAGAACTGGGGACATGTGGGAAATGTACGCCTTGTGTTTTAAATTGATGGGTCAGCGATAAACATAGGGCCACGGGAAATGTGTAGTAAATTCATTAGGAATTAGAAATATTTTGGAATAAACTGAGTTGTTTTCGGGTTCTGCCCTTCAAAAAAAAAAAGTGTGAATATAAAGTAAATTTTAACTGTAGCAAAAATCTGCCCCCTGATGTTCTGGAAGCCCTGATCTAAGCAGAGGTCAGACTTTGCTGTTTTTATGCTGATTTTTCTGCCCCCAAATCATATACCCAAAACACAAACATTTGGTAACATTTTCTAAGAATTGATTTATAAAATAGGGTAATGAAAAATTTAAGGATCAGGTTTACAGATTGCTCAAGCAAGGAACAAGTCCTTCAGATCATTTTTTTTTTCAGAATGCCTTGTCTTATAGCCTGTCTTAACAAGTTTCTCAGCCTGAGCAAGTCTGTAGAGTTCTTCTCTGATAGTTACCATTGAATGCACGCAGAAGGTGGATGTTGACAAACTGCTCTAGCCCAACTGATCTATATTTATAGAATTCTTGAGTTAGAAGACCTTCACTATAATGCAGGACCCCATGAAGATGGTGTGAGGAGTTGTCTCATATTTCCATGTTCCTAAAAGCTGTCACTGTCCAACAAAAATATCTTGGTCTTTCTGCATTTAGTTCCCTTAAAAAGTACAGTTAAAGTTAAGTTGGATATATTGTTAAATCATACAATAATGTCTTGATTTGATGGTTCATGAACTTAATTCTGAAACTTTTAGATTTTCACCTGAAACTTTTGTTTACTTACAAAATCAAATTGCATCTATTTTTTTTTAACCAAAGTAATTGAAAGGGAAGATTTTTTTTCCCCTTTTCTATGGAGGTGAAATTCACTTAACACATAATCAGTCATTTTAAAGTATTTAGTGTATTCATTGTGTTGATAGCCATCACCTCTTCTTGTTTCAGAATACTTTCATCATCCCTGAAAATACTCCTAACCATTTAGTAATCACTCCCCATTCCCCCTTCCTCCCATTCCTTGGTAACTTCTCATCTGCTTTCTGTTTCTATGGATGTGCCTATTAAATCATTAAAAGAAACATAAAACATGTGGCCTTTTATGTCTGGTTTCTTTCACTTAATATGTTTTCAACATTAATCCAAGTTGTTAGATGTATCAGTACCTTTCCTTTTCCTGGCTGAGTAATATTCCATTGTGTTTTATGCCACTGTTTGTTGATTTATCCATCAGTTAATGTTTGAGTTGCTTCCAACCTCTTAGTCTCATGACTTGTACTTATATGAGTGTTTAAGAACAAGATTTTGATTAGACATAGTTTTCATTTCTCTTAAGTGTCTACCTAGGAGTGGCCTTACCTTTATGGTAATTGTATATTTGACTTTTTGAGGAACTACCAAACTGTTACCCAGTGGCTGCGCCATTTTATTTCCCATCAGCAGTGCCCCAGGGTTCCTGTTTCTCTATTTCCCTGATAGCATTTGTTTTCTCTTTTTTGGAATAGAGCCATTCTTGTGGGTGCAGTGGTTTTGATTTGCATGAGTAAATGATTAGTGATATTGAACATCTTTTCATGTGCTTATAGGGTTGCTGCATATCTTTGAAGAAGGAGCTATTTTTTCTAAGAGAGAGTGAGAGAGGAGAGAGAGAGAGAGAGAGAGAGAGAGAGAGAGAATTTTTAATATTTATTTTTTAGTTCTCGGCGGACACAACATCTTTGTTGGTATGTGGTGCTGAGGATCGAACCCGGGCCGCACACATGCCAGGCGAGCGCGCTACCGCTTGAGCCACATCCCCAGCCCGAAGGAGCTATTTTTGATTGCGTTGTCTGTCTGTCTGTTTTTAACTAGTAAAAAATACTTTATGTATCCTGGATTTTAAGCCATTTTTAGATATATGATTGCAAATATTTCCTTCATTACATGCATTGACTTACATTCTTGATAACATACTTTGATGTAAAAGAAGTTTTTAATATTTATCAAGCCCAGTTTATTAGTGATCTTTTTTTGTTTGTTTGTTTTGTTGCTTTTACTTTTGGTATCAAACTAAAGAATCCAGGCCCAAATCTGAAGTCATGAAGATTACCCTTATTTTTCCTCCTAAGGGTTTTATAGTTTTAGCTTTTACATTGAGGTCATTGATCTGCTTTGAGTTAGTTTTTGTGTGAGGGGAAGTAGGGGTGCAGATTCATTCTTTGGCGTGTGGCTAACTGGTTGTCCCAGCACTATTTACTGAAAATACTATTCCTTTCTTCACTGGATGGTCTTGACCCCGCCCCCCTCAAAAGGGGTATAGCTCAGTGGTAGAGTTTACCTTGCATTGTATGCACAAGGCCCTGAGTTCGATCCCTAGCACAAGGGGGCAGGGGGAAATGGTTGAGCTGATTTGTGATTTTCTGATTTCTGGACTCTCCATCTATTCCATTGGTCTTTGTCCTTATGCCAGTACCATAGTTTGGATTACTGTAGGTTTGTAGTGGGTTTTAAATTTGGAGATGCGAATCGTCCAACCTTATTCAGCTGTTTTCCATATCATTTTGCCTGTTCAAATCTCCCTACAATAAATATGGAAGAAAGTCACTGTGATTGGAATAGCATTAGGATTTTTCTGAGGGGA